TGACAACTCCCAGAATTCCAGTGACTATGAATTTTGGGTACAGTAATCCAATAACATAGAATGCATCTGGTTGGGAGAGCTGGTTTAAATTATGAAAAATGTAATAGAATTTTGAGATCAGATCTAATTCACACACAAACACACACACACACACACACACACACACACACACACACACGATACATATATAAATGATGTATGTTGATGGAAGTTGTATTTCTGTCCATAGATTCTGCATTTCTCTGCAGAGACACATTCCCTTTTTTCCTATGGCTTATACATGGTTGCATGGCTCCCTCTACTGGTTTAAAAATACCCAAAAACCTGCATTAGCTTCAGAAGCTTAAACATAAACATATTGAAGTTCCTGTTCCAAAACCACGTAAGAGTAATCCATTCTTAATTTATCTCTCTCTTTCAAATAATATAATAAATTACTTTTCAGAGGCTGCATTAAAACACAAGGATCATGTTCAATTCACTGACTGCCAAACTTTCAGGAAAGGTGGCATATGTCTTTGGGTCACTTATTCTCTATCGGCCCAGCCCACCTCACAGAGTTCTTGTTGGAAAAATAGGGCAAGGGAAAAAGCGAACATTACATTCACAACCTAATTGAATATGCATCTAATAAATAAATAAATAAATAAATAAATAAATAAATAAATAAATAAATAAATAAATAAATAAATAAATAAATAAATAATAACAACAACAAAATTCAAAGACCTACAAATAGAAATAGAATACTATGGAAAAGGCAAGCAAGGGTAGTACCCATAGTAATAGGCACCTTGGGTGCAGTCCCAAAACTACTGGAGCACCACTTGAACACCATAGGCATTGACAAATTTGCCATCAGTCAATTGCAGAAGGCAGCTTTACTTGGAACTGCTTCCATCCTACGACGATATTAAACATCCAGATTTGCCTAGCCCAGGTCCTCAGTAAGGACTCGATAGGTAGACAAAAATATCAAACCCAGACTGAAAATCTGGCTGACTGTGTGAATAACAACAACAATAACAACAATACTTTTGCTTTCAACTGAGCTTTGCAAATGAATTTCAACAAGATTGCTATCCTAGAACTGGCTTTGCCCTTCAGCAGAATGCTTCTATTGCTGGAGAAGAAAGGATGGCGGATTGGATCTCAGAAATTCTTGGACAACCAACACATTAACCAGTCTGTCCCTGTCTTTATTCTAGCTGAACCACATCTCCTTCCTTTCTTCCTGGTAGAAATATCATGGTGAACTAGGTACAGGTAGTTCTCAAGTCATTGTAAAGGAGCCTGCCCATCACAGTTGCAACTTGCGACTGTCAATTTTATGATCTTTGTGTGGCAGCCTTTATGCGAATCACCACGGGTATTAAGCAAATCAATGGTTCACTAGGGGTGTGATTATTGCTGATCGCCAGGATACATTTAATAAATAAAGGCCGGTTTTAGGCAAAACCATCGTTAAAATTTGGTCATGTGGTAGCAGGATGCTGCAAATGGCTGTAAATGCGGCCTGGTTTGCAGGCGTCTGAAGTACAGTCACATCACTGCACAGGATGGTGACTGTCAGATTTTTTAAAATCCGGATTGTAAGTACCCCTCTAGGTATACATTTGTGAACTTGAAACGATTGCTAAGTGCCCAGTCATAATTTGAGGATTACCTATGTGGGAATAAAGATAATCTTTTCATATCAGGTTCCATATGCTTCATAAATAAATCATATCAGGCAATTAATTCTCCTGAGACACTGCTACACTTATTTGTTGTTCCAAGGTTTTGTATGATTTAACTTCTCCAATTAAAGAGATCACAATCATTCACACAATCAAGGCGCTTGTGAAACTTCTCTGTATCAGAAAAATGTAGACAGGTTTGAAAAAACAGAGATTCAGGCTCTTACACTTCAATGAATCTGACTCCAAATGTCTCAAGTGCAAAAAATAAAAAGTTAAGGAACACAACCTCAGTGGCTGGCAAATGCTTTACCAACAGATCTATGTTGTTTTACCACAACTATGAACTTTACTGTAGAGATTTTCTTTCCTATGAGAAAATACTACAGGTTCCAAAATACAGTGCACTAAAATCATGAACAGGGAACAGCCCTCAGCCTATGCCATATCTAAACATTTTGAAATGTCATGCTCATTGAAGCCAATGAGCTGGTTTCAGCTTATTTTCACAGAATATTCATTAAACCTTCACTAGTTAGCCTTTTTTTTTTTGCTAGCTATTAGTGCAACTTTTCTAAGGTCAAAAATTATTCAAGTTTCCTTCCTTCCTTCCTTCCTTCCTTCCTTCCTTCCTTCCTTCCTTCCTTCCTTCCTTCCTTCCTTCCTCAAACGACTCAATATGAAATGTAAACAAACCATCATTTTGTTATAAGAAATAACTGTAACTGAGCTATGTCTTAAGTGGCAAAGGGATTTTTTTAAATAGACATTGTTATTAAAAAATAGCAACAAATGTTTGAAGTCACTAAAATGAGGACCCAAATTGTTGGGGCCAATATGCTGACTGTAAACCGCTTAGAGAGGACTGTAAAGCACTGTGAAGCAATATATAAAGTCTAGGTACTGTTGCTACTTGCCCTTCTGAATCTTTTCATTCCTATAGGATGTTAACTGTCTTAATGTTGGTTTAGGTTCACAGGCAAGGGGAGAACAAGGCCCGCAAGGCCCAGCAGGCCCCCCTGGCCCCAGAGGCTTCCCAGGACCTCCAGGAGAACCAGGAAAACCAAGCTATGGAAGCCAAGGGCCTCCAGGACCTCAAGGACCCCCAGGACTTTCAGCGGCAGGAAAGCCAGGAACCGCAGGCTTGCCAGGAAGACCGGGAGACAAAGGATTCCCTGGTGAAAAAGGAAGCATGGGGCCTCCTGGTCTTCCAGGGCCAAAAGGTTCCCCTGGAGCTCCTGGTCCTGCGGGAATTTCTGTGGCAGGGAAGCAAGGACTCCCGGGACCCCAAGGACTAAGAGGCATCCCTGGGGAAAAAGGTGTTCCAGGCATTCCTGGTATTAAAGGGCAAAGGGGAGAAAACGGGCACGGGGTTCCAGGTCGGCCAGGGGAGAAAGGCCTGCCAGGGCCACAGGGGCCTCCAGGACAAGCAGGGATAGGAAGGCCTGGGGAAAGGGGGTTTCCAGGGCAACCAGGTGTTAAAGGGGACAAGGGTTCACCAGGCTTACCAGGCCCTGTTGGACTTCCAGGTCCCCAAGGCTCTCCCGGGAAACCTGGAATGCCTGGAAAAGGACTCCCCGGCTCAAGTGGGTCACCTGGCCTCCCAGGAACTCCTGGGGCAAAAGGACCCCCAGGTCCTCCTGGCTCAACTGGACCCTCTGGTCTCCCAGGGTTTGGAAAACCAGGATTGCCAGGGATGAAGGGAAACAGGGGGCCTGAAGGACTCCCTGGAAGTCCAGGCGCTAAGGGAGAACAAGGCCCAGCTGGTATCCCTGGAAGATCTGGACCAGTCGGGCCACCTGGGGAAACAGGTCCTCGAGGGCTAAGAGGCGCCACTGGCGCAAGTGGCAGAGCTGGGCTCAAAGGGGAAAGAGGCCCAACTGGTCCATCAGGATTCCCGGGGATTAAGGGAGAAAGAGGCTTGCCAGGATTGGAAGGCAGGTCAGGGAAGCCAGGGTTTCCTGGATCCAAAGGCTATCCAGGTGTGGCAGGATCTAAAGGAGATCTAGGCCCCACTGGGCCAACTGGTTTACCTGGACCAATGGGCTCACCAGGACCCAAAGGTGCAGCAGGAATCAACGGTGGGCCAGGCTCTAGAGGATCACCTGGTATACCTGGTATAAGGGGACCTGTTGGTCCTCCAGGTATTCCAGGACTCCCTGGAGGCAAAGGGGACCCAGGTGCACCAGGATTACCAGGTCCAGCTGGGATTTCATCGAAAGGCACAGATGGACCTATGGGACCACCTGGACCACCAGGTTCCAAAGGCCACCCTGGGGAGCCTGGATTGCCAGGCCCTCCAGGCCCCCCTGGTCCTTCAGGGCAAGCCCTGGCAGGAGTGCCAGTTATAAAAGCTGGTGCAACTCAAGGTCTCACTGGCAGGCCGGTGTCCGCTTTCACTGCCATTCTCTCCAAAGCTTACCCTGCATCTGCTGCTCCTATCCAATTTGACATAATTTTGTACAACAAGCAACAACACTATGACCCCAGATCAGGCATCTTCACCTGCAGGATTCCAGGGCTTTACTACTTCGCTTATCATGTCCATGTCAAAGGCACACATGTTTGGGTTGGCCTGTACAAGAACGGCTCACCCATCATGTACACATTTGACGAGTACAAGAAAGGATACCTTGATCAGGCTTCCGGAAGTGCTGTTGTTGATCTCATGGAAAATGATCAAGTCTGGTTACAGCTGCCCAACAATGACACAAATGGCCTTTACTCTTCAGAGTATGTCCACTCCTCCTTCTCAGGTTTCTTATTTGCACAAATGTAATATTCAGCGTAACAGAAAAATGCATGCAGGTATATGTGTGTGTGTACTTCTACATATACAACGGAATTAACACAATTACACCCGAATACAAAATTACTTTTCTAAAGTTCATAATGCATGATTTTTAAAAAATTAAAAAAAAATATTCACAAAGTACAATCATACTGTATGGCAACACTGAGACATGCATTTTACTTGCCCACATACTGAAAAGCTAATCAAGATTATTTTTACCAAAGTTATTCCCCCCCAAAAGGGCATCACTATCAAAATCTCCTTTCATAGATGTGTAGACAGTAATGCCATCAAAACAAACACATGTGCATAGCTTTAAAAAACGCAAGAAATGCAATATGTTGTGTTAATTCTATAACTCTAAACATTTTCGGTGAAATATTTGCATCACAAAATGAATCCATTTGGTTCCAGGGTACCCCAGGTGAGCATATAAAGTGGTAATCATGTCCAAATGCGCAGGTACTAGTAATGGCTGATCATGAGTACTGTAGGTATATTTATTGCTAAATTGACAGTATTATAAACCTCATAAAATATTTCAATACTACCCTTTACAGAATGATGTCTGTTTACATACAACATTCAGAGAGCGATACAACTACAGCTAAGAACATGTTTAAAATGTTAACAGATTTACCTTATGGAGTGTGAATAGTTATTAATAACTAATTGTACCACTGTGCAGTGTATATTTCATCCTACAGTAACATCTTGATTCCAAACCATTTGTACGAAATCACTATAAATGGCCTGTACTGTGTTCTTTTAAAACCAAAATTCTACAGTTTGTTCTAAAAAAGGTTCTAGTTGTATCTGTCCATTTTGATTTAAAAAAATATATAAATAAAAAAATGAAACATTTCTTTCAATTTCTCTGATCATTTAGCAAATTTATTGAGAAGATAACGATAGAAATAATTGCTATCTATATAATTTCTATCAAAATATAATTTCTCTCTAAATAATTTCTTTTAAAAGATTTTGGTAGAAATAATTTTGTCAATTGTTTTTACTGTGTTGTGGTGTTTACGTTACCCTGGGAATTTCTGAATGCAGGTTTTAACAGGTCGAAAAATACACATTAAGATATAGAAGCGTTCAATCCTGTGCTGGATTCCTATTATGCCAAGGAAGGACAGGAGATATTTACAAAATCAGGTGAAAAAGTAGGAAAATGTGTAACAATTAGATGCTGCAAATTTTTCATACGGCTCATGGCCTAATGCCCACAAAAACATTTCTTTTTCTCTACCTACCACATAAACCAAATTTCCAGTGTTAGCCTTGCAAAGTAGTCCATATAAGAAGTCTGAGTACTAGCTCCATTTTTATTGTAAGATTTACATTAACAGAATCTTGCATGTCTGAAAATATCCTTCCCTTTGTTCATGTCTGCTTTCTCCAAGACTAGGGAAGGTCTCTTCTGAGATGCTTTTATCGCCTTTTCTTTTTCGGACTCAAAGTTCTCTTATCAGACCATTGTCTAGGCCCATGAGGGCGATGGCACACGTGCCAGAAGTGGCACACAGAGTCCTCTCTCCTGGCATGCGTGCCGTTGCCCCAGGTCAGATCCCTGTGGCGTTTCTTTCATGAGCTTCTGTTTCCCTGCAAACAATGAAACAGAAGCTCACAAAAGAAAAAGATCTTACCTCTTACAATACTGCTGGTGTTGAGACGCCCTGCCTCCCACCAGCCAGCTGGTCTACAGGTCTCTGCTGTGCATGCCTGCACATGCATGTCTGCGCATGCACACCTTTTAGTTTGGGCATGCACACAGTTTGGACACTCGGAGTCTAAAAGGACTTCTTTGCAGCTATAGGGACATTTGAGTAGTTTCATTTTCTAGGCACCCATAGAATCAATAACTCCTCTTTGTTTATTTATGTTTGACTTCCCCTTTAAGGGCCCCCTCCCAGAAACTGTTCCTGTATTAGCTACAAGTGGCTTGCCCTGTCAATGTCAATGGGGATGGGGTCTTGGAGGGTCTTTAGTTGGGCTTACTGTTAGCTTACTTGGCAGCTCCTTGACTGGGATATTGTTTGCTGCTTGATTGCTATCATTCCAATTCGGTCCCCATCAATATATTTTAATTGTGAAAATGCACAGCCATTATGAAGGGCCAGTTACATTTTGACAGATGCATGAAAAGCACCTTCAACAAAGAACAGCCCTTGAAAGGCAGGGAAACCACTCACCTTTAAAAGCTGACGTTTTATAATTATATTGTATGGCAGCAACCATATCCTTCCAGAAGTCATATTTTCTCCTAGGGCTGTGCTGCAAGCATAAAGAAACCCCATTGCCTTTTTCATTGTGAGCAGTTTTTCTAGCAAGCAGTGAGAAAATAAGATAACAACCACAAGCACAGTCTGAAATACAATGCAGCCACATAGGGTTCCCTCATTCAGGATTCTAGCCAATCCTTTTTTTTTCTTACTCCAACATCCTGTTTCTGTTCTTCATCTCTTCCCCCACATTAATTGAACATCCAGTTATCAATGACATGTTTGGGAATGCCTCCTTTTGATGCCAGCAATACACATTTAAGAAACAACTTTGCTAATTACCGTATTTTTCAGATTATAACACGCACCTGACTATAAGATGCACCTAAATTTGTTTTTAGAACAAAAAAAAAAAAAAAGGGTTTTGGCCTCCGAGCGCCACATTTTAGCCCTTTTTGGGCCATTTTCAAGCCTTTTTTCTACCCATTTTTAGGCTTTTTTTTTGGCCCTTTTTTGAGGCTTTTTGGCTTGTTTGGGGGGATTTTTTGGCCCATTTGGGGGGCTTTTTTCAGCCCATTTTTGATGCTTTTTTGGCCTGTTTTTTTTTTTTTCAAAAAAGATGGGCTGAAAAAAGTCTGGAAAAAAGGCTGAAAAAAGGCCTGAAAAATGGCCCAAAATTGGGCGTGCAGAGGCCAAAAAATGACCGGTGGGTGGGGCTTCGGCAATATTCAGTCTATAAGACGCACAGACATTTTCACCACCTTTTGGGAGACAAAAAAGTGCATTTTATAGTCCGAAAAATATAATAATATGCAGTACTGGATTCACTCATGTGATGCAATGATGTGAATATAGCAATAGCAATAGCAGTTACTTATATTCTGCTTCATAGGGTTTTCAGCCCTCTCTAAGCAGTTTACAGAGTCAGCATATCGCCCCCACAGTCTGGGTCCTCATTTCACCCACCTCGGAAGGATGGAAGGCTGAGTCAACCTTGAGCCGGTGAGATTAGAACCGCTGAACTGCAGATAACAGTCAGCTGAAGTGGCCTGCAGTACTACACCCTAACCACTGCGCCACCTCGGCTCTGATTATGCAGTTTTATTACTATATTATTGATTTGATTTTTTTAAACTCTTCTCTTCCTCTTGAACTACCAATTCCCTGCATGAAACAGTCATTTTAATATTTAAAAACAGAAAAGCAAAAACACTATTCATTGCAGAAAGGGAATATCTTGTGTAAAACCAATTCCTCACAGGCAAAACTACAGTACGTAAATGGTGGCTACTAATCATTACAACAAATTATATCTGTTTACATATGGTTGTTTTGGGAAACTTTCTTCTTAATGATATCTAACATGAGCATAAAAGCCTTGCTTTTCATGTGGGTCTCGGGATGAAGCAACATTGTCCCAAAAGAATATGGAAGCCAATATAAACAAAGGAATGGGTTTAATTAAGTTTAGAGACTTGATAAAAAAAATAAAAACTTCATTTCATGTGTGCCTGCTTGCCATAGAACATGCTTCCCCTTATCGCAGTGTTTTTCAACCTTTTTTGTGCAAAGGCACACTTTTTTCATGAAAAAAATCACGAGGCACACCACCATTAGAAAATGTTAAAAAAATTTAACTGTGCCTATATTGACTATATATAAAGTGTTTTTCCCACGGCACACCTTACACTATGTCACGGCACACTAGTGTGCCGCAGCACAGTGGTTGAAAAACACTGCCTTATCGGACCTACATTTTTAATCATCTTTTCAGGTTTTATACAAAAAAATTTTTTTGAAGCAATAAATGACAAGTTAGTAGAACATATACAGTAATAAACATACTAAAAAGAATTTTCATGCTTAGTCCATAAATCTTCATAACAGGAGATTATTTAGGGCTGAACACAGAAATGATCTCTGAGTTCCAGGGACAAGCCAATAAGCAGAATCAGTGCCCTATTTATAGGTAGGGCTGTCTGGAATGTAAACAGAGACAAGCAGGACACTATTTACTTCCCTAAGAAAAGAAATGAATTCCTTCAGAATTCTGTAGATAAGTGATTCAGTTCTAGCTTATTGCTGTGACTCACTGCTGTAAAGCAAGGGTAAAGAATTTGATCCCTGAAAGAATGTTCAAGCTTCATGTAACATGTGAGAAGGAAGAAGAGAAGCAGAAGGAACATTAATTTAAATGTATCGTCCATGAACACCAAATCTGATGCTCCAAACCTGATTAGAACTTACTTTGTCTAAACAATCCACAATCCGTCCACAAAGAAGTGACCCAGGCATATCAAAGTAATTGTCATAGGAATAATACTTGGCTGTAAAGACAAGAAATTGAATGCCTATTAGATACCTAGTGGACATTTTTGTGAGGAAAATTATTATTTACTATAATACCAGTATCTGCAAAATTTCCCCTTGTATCACAAATAGTAAATTGCTCAAGAGACACCAAAATGTTGGAGAATCATACAATGAGAATACAATTCCAAATATCACTGCAGGAAATCAAAACCTATACACGAGTTCTGGGATACGTTATCGATTTCCAGAAGGTTAAGTGAGGGAAAAGTCTGGAAACACTGTTTTAGTGATGAGACTAGATCTTTGGTAAAGATTTGTCAGTCTCCCACAATGTCTACTCCCAAAACAGCTGCAGCTTTTTTGAAGGGTAGTCCCCCTCTTCTTTTTTTTTTTAGAAAAAAAACCCCTCACAACTTTATCTATCTTAGGCTCTCCCACTCATCA